CAAGACAGGGTAAATGGCACCTCACCTACGAGAGGACAATAATTTTAAGCAGGTAAATGCACCATTACCACACGCGTGAGAGCACAAAAACCTTGATATGCAGCCACCCGACCTGGACTTGAAGACCTAGATTGCTCTTCTCTGAGATAAGCTACGGGCTGAAAACGCAGAAGTTTTCAAGTGCGCACTGGCCCTGAGAGCTACAAGGGCAAATCACCCGATGTACAAGCCAGAGTGCTCTCCTCAGAGGAGTCTGATACGGCTTAAACGATTCCCTATGTCTGCAATAATTGCACAGTCCAAAGATTCGGACTGATCGTTAGGCTGGTAACGGCACCGCTTTGCCACTGCTCTATCCTACTTCTTTATGGTCAGAACTGCAAATAAAACTTCCGAATTACATGCCTAGTTGCCTGGGACCCGCTGAAATATAGATTTTTTTTGGCCCTACTGCTCCTCAAATCCTTAAATTCAAGATGAAGCTAGCGCCGGCGCATGCCTGGTTGCCATTTCAAGACCGTTTCTTAGTGATCCAGCCTCCGAATCTTTAGTTCTTTGACAGTTCTTTGTGTTTGCGTCCTGCGGCATCAGGGCAGCCATCTGGTTTTGATAAATTCACTGGCGAAATACGGCCTCCCCCTAACATACCTCTGGTTACTACCCCCCCCCCCCCTTTCCCATTCCTAAATAACGACACTTTTATTTTCAGTTTTTTCCGACCCTTTCCCCGTAAAATATTAGTTTTCCGCCCAGAATTTTGCCTGTCGGGGGAGTTGAGGGGGCGGGAGGGGAAGCGAATCAGCGAACTAAATAATACTGTTTTCAAACTGTTGAAATAGTAGTTGAGTTAGACACTTCGACGCGGCCACTACCAACTCAGGGGGAGTGCGTATATAACAGCCAGTTAAACCTAGGGAAAACGCAAACGTCAACACCTCGGTAAAAAGTTTTTCCAACAGCCGTAATTTCCTCTTCGAAGGACAAACACGACCATCCTCCCCCGTCCAACAGACGTCTCCGAGCAAATACGACGCAAATACGACCCCCCTCGTTCATAGCGTCTGTGATACAAGGGAATCAACTATCAAGAAAATTTTTGTCATACCAAATACGACCCTCTCCCCCTGATCAACACAGATAGAAAAAGGAAACCGGATGCGTGTCCATCCTGCTCTCTTGAAAGGCCCCGACTATTGCCATTCATGACCCCTCCCAATATTATTCTCTGTACAATCCTGCACCTTGTTCTCGAACCATCGATGAAGGAAACTGCGTCCTTCTAGAGGATAATGCTGTAGATGGTAACATATTCAAGACAAGCCGTGGCGGTCAACTGCGCGTGGCGATGGATTACCGTACTTCCACGGGAATTCTCAATAGAGACCAAAGATGGGCAAAGGTTCACTAATCTTCCACATTTTTTCCCCGATAGCTCGTTTTCCCCCTAATGCATCCTTTAGCTCCATTACCATATATTTAAATACCGTCAAATGTAAATTGAGGACTAACCAGTGGTTTGCAGAAGACTTGCATCACTTGCTGGGAACCTTCATTCAAAGCCCAGTAGAGCGATAAATTCTCCATTCAACACCGAAGACCACTGCGAAGAAGGTTCACTATTACTAGACTGGTATTGTCTTTACTTAGATGACATTTTTATCCATTCACGGGCGCAAATCGCTTGATGGGACACCAAACGTACTCAGTCAAGGCCTGTGCAGGCTACCTTGTCGAGACCAGTCAATTCCTGTCAAAACGGCTCACACTGTTAACCCTTCAAAGCTTCACGAGAATTTACGGGCATTGTGTGAACTGTCAATGTCAATGCGACCCCCTCCCCAAACTTTCCCCTCTGCTACGGTGGTACCCCTACCCATAACTTCAGCTAGTACAACCTCTTGATTTTCGTGCCTACCTCCTTTCTTAATTCCCACCACTTTTCCAAGTTTCGATACTGTTTCCCAAAATACCGCCGTCGAGCGGGTGGGAAGGAGCAAGAGGGGGGGGGGGGAGGGAGAAAGGCCCACTTGCGATCAACTATCAGAATCACTGGGTTGAATACAGTTCTGCGGTGGCAAAGAAATCGCAAAGTCAGCAGGAGGAAAAAAAATTAATCGCGGCTCAGAGAAACTTCCACGGAGGCAAGCCACACCCCCCACGCCCTCCTCAGAGCCAAGTGCGATCCTCTGATGGGACTCTCCTAACGGTGCTGTACCCTGTTTTCTGGTCACCCAGACTGACGCCCGTTAATTAAAATGAACTAGCGAATGTGCAAAATGCCCACCCCCTAGGCCGAACAGAAGAGAAAAGGGCAGAAAAAATGAATTTCAACTGGCTGTTTCGGAGCAGGGTACAGCATCGTTGTGTGAAACACATAGGAGGTCGTATATTTCGGTTGGGAGGGGGGTCGTATTTGGTCGTTGTTTGCTCCCCCCTTCCCCGCTCGACGGAAAATCTGTGAGTGAAAAACTGGAAAATGTGGGGAATTGGTAGGTAGGTGCTGGGGAAGGGGGGGGGGGTAGGTCGGGGGTCGTACCAAGACCCTCCCTCGAGGGGGGTCGTACTGGCACCATCGTTTCACACATCACGATGCTGTACCCTGCTTCGGAGGGCCCTGTACTGGACGCTCGTTGCCGTCCTTTTGTGCTCTTACTCAGGAATTTTGTAGCGAGTGCCAAGATCGAAATCTCAGAGTCCAATCGATATCCATATTTTGCATAGAAGATCTTCTGTAGACCCTCTTCTGTAGAGTAGACCAAATTCTAAGGTGCGAAGAACAGCGTTTGTAATCCCCTTGTTTAACCTCTCCCCATTTCCTCAGAAGACTTCCCACATTTATCTCCTACCTCTAACCCAACCCCACGATGCGCCGTATACAGCAATTGACCCAAATTCATTTCGGAGATCTCACACAAACAAAAAGCCATTAAGCATAGGTTCTCAAGTTTTTTTTTCTATGGCGCTTTGCGTGATCCGATAGTGATCGAAAATTGGACCCCCCGTCGTTCCAGTCGGCTGTCGGCCAACCAGCCAGCCCATTTACCGCGAGCCCTTATTACGCAACACTTAAGCGAGTCCGTACCGTTACGCGACGGCCACCGGTGCAACCACGTAGACGTAACGACCGTGTCATGCCGTGCTGAGACATTCAGCCAGCTCGTCCGCCGGAACATTCTTTGGTTCAACCTGTGGTTAAATTGCAACATCGGTCGACAGGATTAGGTCGCTGGCGTGGATTAGAACCTGGAGGATAAGCCATGCATTCGTCTTTCAAGAACATCGTAGAGGTGGCAGAAAAAGTAGGAAGAGCTCATGAAGACAAGTCGATGCCAAACAGCGCAGATATCTACCTATTTTTCTCAGGAAGACATCGATCTCAGGACTATATTACGTGATTACCGGCGCAGTTCGGCTTGGAGGGGGCATTTTGCTGGTTCCCATCGATGGCTACCGATGCCTTCTGCGGAGAAATGCTTATTCCGGTAAAACTTTCCAGTAGCTTGAGCTTCGTTCACCCTTGACAAGAGTCGACAGGTCTCACCAAGGTGTAACGTGCAACAATCCAGAAGCTAGCAAAAGGATTAACGACCGTACAAAATGCACCCGCCCAAGCAGATCAGCGCCTCAACACCATATATCTAGCATATATCATATACACCATACATCTAGCCCTGCGATGCCTTCGCCTTCTTCGAATAAGCAGGTGGACAACTTAGAAGCCGTAGGAGCTTGCGGAAAAATATGAGTTTGCCAGGCATAACCATGTATGGTACTTGTACAAAATCAATCATTTCAAATACCCTTGGTTGAAGAGGACACATGGCGCATCCTCTCAAAAAGCCCTGCAACCACGCCAGCTCCATGGGCTCAACGAAACACTGAATCAGTAATCGTGGGGTGAGAAACTTGTAGAATCTTACCCGTGCGATGAGAGTATAATAATAAATAGGCAATTTTGGTGCAGTGGCCAAAGGCGCAGACTTGAGTGGGATTGAACTTGAGTGGGATTGAGCTTAAGTGGGATTGAACCAGACACCACAAGCGTCGCTTGTGGTGCCTGGTTCAATCCCACTCAAACTGGTCAACGAATACCACTTCAGGACAAATTCTGCGCTCATTATATGGGCGGAGTTACTTCCAAAATGCTGATCTCATCGGTGGCCCCCTTATAAAATAATAAAGGGGAGGAGCGCACTAATGAGGAAAGGGCGATCGTTCTAGTGACTCCGCCCACACGATTAGCGTGGAATACACTCTAAATTCCAACATTTTTGCGCTTTTAGAAACCATAGCTTGGATGTCTAACCCATTCAATCACACTAACAAAAATGTGCGTTGAGCTGTGAATGGCGCACTTCGGAAAAAACTTTCAGTTTGTTCACTCATGAATTCGATGTGGACTTCAGACCTCTGGACTATAGAGAAAACTACCAACCGTTTCGAAGTGACCTGGCTTGGCTATTCATCTAGAACGCCATTCTATTATCCGCCTGACCTATTTACGCTATGGAAAGCCATCCATAATCCAGAAGTCGACAGTCATATCTCACCCTTCGAAGATGACCACGACAACTAAACCCTCGCCCGTCGAGGTCACCAGGACGGACAACTGACCCTTTCGTGGGCGTCCTAGAGGCTTCAGAAGGCAAAAAGTAACTTTCAACACACTTTCAGCCTTTGGAATTTGGCCATTTTCCCGGGAATTTCCCCGCACGTGTAAGAACTACACCGGAGCAACATGAAATATATTGAATGGGGCTAGACATTCAAAGTCCCTGCACGCATGGGAGCGTGAATATCCCAAGTCACCCAGTACCACTGCCGTTTTCCTAGGATAGCTACTTTAGGCGCAGTTCGACACGGG